ATGAATCAAAACAGAAGTAGAGACCAAACACTTCGAGTTTTGTCCCAATAGCGTGTGATTTGCAATAGGAATACTGCAAAGAAAATAGCCGAACTCCGTGAAAATGCACGCTGTATATTTTGGTCTGGTGCGCTCGCTTTTCACGGGCCAAAAATAATGTTTTTACATGATAAACATGAAGAATTGCTCGTTGAAAAGAGCTCCTTTATTTTATGTACATTCGTATACCCCCGATGTTATTGTCGTCTGAAATATGGCAAAATTCAGCGTACAAACGGAATACAAAATATAATGTACTTTACGCGGGTGGTTACAAACGAAAGAAAGTTTAGTTGGAGAGGAAATATAGTTGGAGAGCTATTCCAAGGGATGAAAAAAATGAATCCAAGATAATTTTTCGTTGTCTAGTACGAGCGTTGTGAAAATGCACTGAAAGCCCGATATAAATTATGCAAATTAGGTACGTTTTGGCCGATTTCGAATTTTCGTATTTTTTGCCAAAATAAAAACTCGCTGGAACTTTTGAATATTATTTTTGAAAACAATTCACCAAAAGGGTCTTTTGGAGCAAATAAAAAAAGTTGAATTTTTGCTTGTGTCGCCGGATTCTTGAAAATTACTGACTTCTCTTAAGTTCTAGGCTTCTTCATGTACTATAGTGTATACGTGCGCACAAACTGGTCTATTTCGCTGATTGAGATTGGTACACTGAAAGATGTCGGTCCTCAACAAATCACACAGAAATAAATCATGTTTAACTGTACACCAAACTGCTCATCGAGAGGGTCAAAATGCATTTACAACTGTCCTGTTCTATTTTGGAATCGATCAATTTTTTATGAGCATTATATGAGTTGGGAGATGTCGGTTTACGTTATATTCGATGAAACACCCTCGAGTAACTGCCGTATTTTAAAGGAAAAATATTGATGAACGCCACCCCCGAATAAATGCCAAATCATTACGCGACTCTTATTCGAATAATAGACTCAAAAAAGCAGACCGATGACTACTGAGGGTCTGTTTTCAAGGAGATGGGGAGCCCCAGACATGTGAAGTAACCCGCCTGTCCATATAATCTATTACTTCATCTTGATCACGTTTACATGATAGGTGGGGCGACCCGTCTAGGCGGGTTGCCCAGTCTGCTGGGTAGGGTAACCCTGTCAGCAAGGGGGCAACATTGCCATGTAACCGTCTCAAGGTCGGTTAACCCGCCCACGCGGGGCGCCGTTCATGTTACAAAAGGATCAAATAAGGAAAACAACAGCGAAACACGAGTGTGTTAAGACTTTGTACATTTCTTGGTCTTCCCATGCAGAACTAAAACGTTAAAACATCAATTTTTACATCCACTCAGCAATAAAACCTCGACAGCGATTTAGTCACGTTTTTACTTTTAACTCAACACTACATTCACACGTTATGCCACAGTGAAGACGTTGTACTGTCAGAAACGGTTAACGCATCGAGCTATTGGCCAAAATCTTAGAGGAAAATTAATTACGTTTTTTCTGCAACGTTTTTACGACACGTCCTAGTGACATCTTAAACTCCTTAATTGCAAGTGTGATAACAACCTCGAGAAACTTCATCCTGGCATCCCGGGGTTGTAAGATTGTATGTAATCGCTGGCTATTTTTAGCCCACGGTTAGGCGGGTCACCTCACCTACCTGGGGTCCCCACATTCATGTTAACAGGCCCTAGGGCAATGAAATACAGGTTGGTGGTTGATTACTATTAGCCTGGAACTTCTTCGACTGCAAAACTGAAGATAGTATTGCTTACGTATTGCAGTCGGAAAAAAAAATCGATCAAGTAATAGTGCCAGAAGGGTCCACCAAGTATATCCAGGCACCGGACGTTTCTTGGAACAAGCCGTTCAAGGCCACTTGCACTTAAAAGGAATGATTGGCTAGGTACCGTGGGAATTCACGAAGAAACAGCTGCTGAAATTTGAAATTATCCCCGAAAAGTACCATTTTGGAGTGAATTCTTGATTCTTGAGCAGAGCTACCCAGAGAGGTAATAAAAAAAACTTTCTCGAGCTGCATGTTGAACCTTCCCGTGGACGACATGATTCACTGCCCCAACGAACGACAGCCTTGCGGCAGTGCACGATTATTGCTTCTATCGCAGTTGCAAGTTCTGAGTAAGCAAGGCACAAATCCCTTCGAATGTACCGGTTCTGATTTTGAGAGAGCACATCCGTCATTATATCTTTTGGATTCGGATCATGAAGAGGACAGAGACATTGAAATTGGGTGAACTATGTTCACTTTATTTCACAATAAGTATTGCAGTAGTATTAACACGCAGATTGTGAAATTGAGGACAAGCACTAGAACGTGTTTTTGTTGTTTACAATTAAAATGGTCAGTTACCATACTATTGTTTGCAAAAAGTAAATTGAATTTTAAATAAACGCCGCCCTCGAATAAACATCGCACTTGAATCACGAAAATTTTAATAAACGCCGCCGCGTTTAATCGAATGAACATGATAAACATGATTAGCTCTATATTTAAGAGAGCTCCTTTGTAAGAAATTTTTATAAGAGTTGTTTACAGTCTGTTGGACCAAGTTCTATCCAGCAATCTTTCGATGAAAGAATTTATAATTGGTGCCAATCCTGATCTTCCTGCAGCCAGCTAATTTCCCCAAGGTCTTGAAACAGGTAGGAAATCGACAATCATCCCTTCATATCTGGGGCTCTTCTGACTCGTCATTAAGTACTAGGCCTTTGCGGAAGTAGGCATCCGCCGGCACACATTACCATTTTAGAGTTATCCACAACAACTTTGTTTACCTCGTCCCTATTGTGTCCCCACCTCCCCCCTATTGTCAATTCCCCCCCCCCCACCCCACAAACCTCCCGTTCAGGAAGCTTTCAGTGATCAAATTTCATTGAATGGCTCTGCAGCTCGCAACAGAAATAAAAAAACAATGCCTATGAATGTTTTTTGTCTTGGTTTTTAATGAAAGAGAGACGCTCGAAACTTTGAAGTAATGAAAATCAAAGGGCTCTTGGAGCCAGCTCATTCATGTTATGGCTTAGCTTTGAATTGATTTCTTGGACTTGCTGAATATAGGTGCAGATGAATTCGGTTTATGTGAACTTTCAAGACTTTTGGAATAAATTTTCTTTTATTTTTGGGCAGTTGTGTGATAAGAAAACTTATGCATTCGTAGTGATGGGGATCGGAAAAAAGTTTGTGTGGGCTGGAGGTGGGATGGGCAGAGGTCATTAGGCAGACTACGCCCTCAGTTGGCTGCAATATATCTCATAACGCTGACTGCCGCAATAATTATCTATTAAATGTTCCTTGCCCGTTTCTTGATGTCTTTTGTTTTAAACAAAGCGGCCATTGCATTTGATTTTTAACAAAGCGGACACAATCGTTCCTAATAGAATTTCAAGTCTTCATCTAATCTGATTTTCACATATTAATATTTGCGTAGTCACCAAACCAACGAGAGATAAAACCACCAAAAAAGTTGACAAATGGCCAGTCACGAGGGCAACGCTTGGCTTTTCCCTATAAAAATTCTCCGGTTTCTCATGAAAACCAATGACAATATAAGACACTAAGGGGAAATCAGTATGTGTACACTTCTGAACGTTGAAAATATATCAAGTCGAAAGAAAAGTTCTGGTCTTGGTTCGCATTTTTGTCAGCAAAATGAACACATATCGGTTGAAAAGATGAATTTCTCGAATATTGCGCAGGTTAAATATTCAATAGTGGCATCCATTTACATCCACATCTACTTTTAGTAAGTTGGTAAATTCTGTAAAGATATCACGCCAACCAGCTCGCGCGGAAAATGAGAATAATAAACGAGGCTTGAAAAAAATTAAGAACGATTGTGATCAAGAGACAGGCAAGGAATATTCCACAATAGTGCAAATAATCGCGAAAGATGATCGCGGAAAAGCACTTGCGTGACGCTCGGTAAGTTGTAAGATGCCATGTTATCACGTATCAGACGAAAAAACAGTACAAATTCTCAGTCTGCATTTTGCACCCGGTCTGCGGTCCGTAGTCTGCATTTTGCACAGAGTACGAAGCCATCCAAGCGCTTGATACGGCTGGACACGGTCCTCAAATAACTCCATATTTCTCTTTGAAATATACTAATTTTTCATTGGAAAATATTCTACCTTCATTTACAATCCTCAAGCGCTTCTAAAAAGTGAAAAAATGCCAACGTTGTCCGTTTCGCTGGCCTTGTACACAGAGTTCGAAGAGATCCAAGCGTGACACTAAGAAAATTTTCACCAGACACTACCGGACACGGTCTTTAAATAACTAGACGTCCGGAAGTCTGATATTTTTCCGTATTTCTCTTTGGAAAATACCAGTTTCTATTGGAAGTATTTTGTCTTCATTTAGAATCCTCAAGCGCTTCTAAAAAGTGAAAAAATTTGAATATTGTCCTTTTCGCCGACTCTTCATAGAGTACGAAGAGCTCCAAGCGTGTTCAGGGTGGCTCTTGAGAAAGACGATTTTAGAAGGGTTTTAGTTATCTGGGAATTCCGTGTTACAGGAAATTGGGTCGCGTCAAGGTTGAAAGGCGTTGCATCAAGGTTGAAAATGGGCCTTTAACTTGTAACTGTAGGATAAAAAGAGGCTCCGAAAACAACAGTGAAATAAACAAATTCTCCCAGAGTACCATTCTTTTTTATTATGATAGATTAAGTATGCATCATTGCAACAAGATTTCTTTTCCAGATTGCAGGAAAATGCGTTTCTGGGAGACTTATCTTTTAAAAAATTTCCCGGGGGAGCATGCCCCCGGACCCCCCTAGAGGTTCGGGCCTTCGGCCCTCAATTTTCAAGGGAACCTGCCTACTTTAAAGGCAGTGCCCTTTTACTTCAAAGTTGTTTAAGTTAGCGTCTTGTTGACTTTGATTGCCTCAGCAATACATGTAGCACCCGCAGCACTAAAAAACATTGTAAGACAAATCCAAATTGGTTAGCGTCTTGTTCACTTTGATTGCCTCAGCAATACATGTAGCACCCGCATCACTAATATCATTCTTTCGCAAATACAAATTGGTTAGCGTCTTGTTCACTTTGATTGCCTCAGCAATATATGTAGCACCCGCATCACTAATACGATTCCCAGACAAATCCAAATTGGTTAGCGTCTTATTCACTTTGATTGCCTCAGCAATACATGTAGCACCCGCATCACTAATATGATTCCCAGACAAATCCAAATTAGTTAGCGTCTTGTTCACTTTGATTGCCTCAGCAATACATGTAGCACCCGCAGCACTAATACCATTCCAAGACAAATCCAAATTGGTTAGCGTCTTGTTCACTTTGATTGCCTCAGCAATACATGTAGCACCCGCAGCACTAATAACATTGTGAGACAAATACAAATTGGTTAGCGTCTTGTTCACTTTGATTGCCTCAGCAATACATGTAGCACCCGCAGCACTAATAACATTGTGAGACAAATCCAAATTGGTTAGCGTCTTGTTCACTTTGATTGCCTCAGCAATACATGTAGCACCCGCATCACTAATACCATTGTTTCGCAAATACAAATTGGTTAGCGTCTTGTTCACTTTGATTGCCTCAGCAATACATGTAGCACCCGCAGCACTAATAACATTGTGAGACAAATCCAAATTGGTTAGCGTCTTGTTCACTTTGATTGCCTCAGCAATACATGTAGCACCCGCATCACTAATACCATTGTTTCGCAAATACAAATTGGTTAGCGTCTTGTTCACTTTGATTGCCTCAGCAATACATGTAGCACCCGCATCACTAATATGATTCCCAGACAAATACAAATTGGTTAACGTCTTGTTCACTTTGATTGCCTCAGCAATACATGTAGCACCCGCATCACTAATACCATTGTTTCGCAAATACAAATTGGTTAGCGTCTTGTTCACTTTGATTGCCTCAGCAATACATGTAGCACCCGCATCACTAATACGATTCCCAGACAAATCCAAATTGGTTAGCGTCTTGTTCACTTTGATTGCCTCAGCAATACATGTAGCACCCGCAGCACTAATACCATTGTGAGACAAATCCAAATTGGTTAGCGTCTTGTTCACTTTGATTGCCTCAGCAATACATGTAGCATCCGCAGCACTAATACTATTGACACACAAATTCAAATTGGTCAGATTCAATCCAGTTCCAAACGACTTCAATAAATGCGAGTGAAAATCACTTTTTTCTCTTTTGCATTCGTTGATGACCTCCAATACAATTTTTGCACCACGGCCTTCATTTTTGTTGACTTCATTTGTTAAACTCTTTACAAGAGCCACAACCTGTTCATCGCATTTCATGGCCAAAATTCCACATGAAAACAAAAGTATTTGTTTAAGTTTTACGAAATACCTTGGATCGGAAACTAGTTCTTCAGGTTTCATCTCCTTGCTTTGAATCTGAGAATAAATGAAGAATGCTGCAAAGAATTCTTGAAAACTTTTATGTAAGAAGGCATAGTGCAGTGTTTGTCTCAGTTTGCTGCCACCAGGCTGCACTGACAGAAATCCAAATTCAGTCAGGTCTTTTGCATGGTTTCTCAATTCACTTTCATTAAAATCCAACTTATCGTCAAGTAAACCATTCAACGCTACCTTTCCAAAGTGATTCAATTGCGGTTTGTAATGGTTTGTCAAGTCTTCGATCTTTTCTAGTAGTCCCTTCCTTTTTCTATATCTTCTCAAAACACATTCAACCATATCCAAGTACAGTTGAGCTCTGCTTTCGGGGAGTGTGCCCTCAAACTCTTCGCATAAAAGGCAAAGAAGTGCTGTGTTTAGAGGATTGGCCGCCATTTCTCTCAGGTTTCTATCTCGCGACATCCGTTGCGAGAGCTTGGTAATAAATCCGTCCTTTCTTTAAAGTACTTGGTGACAAATCCTTTCACATGCTCTTCAGTAAATCCTTCGATCTGAAGCAGCACGTCACAACATTTTCTCACCTCTTTTCCAGCTTCGTGTCTTGCTGTTGCAACTATGTGGCATTTGGGGAGCACTCTTCCTTCAATTAATTCGGAAAACATCGACAATTTACTGGACGGTAACTCATCCAATCCGTCCAATATCAATAAAATGCTGGACTGATTTTCACGAATAAAACGAAAGAATTGTTGTTTGACTTCTTCATCGATGTCTCGGGGCAGAAGCTGATCATCAATAGCTTCCCAAACGTCAGAACGGATATCTCGACATTTCAGAAACAATACCACTTTAAATGCTGTTGAGCCGCAGCCCTGAGGTTCTTGCTGTTTTGTGGCCCAGTCGTAGGCGTACTTTTTACAATAGGTGGTTTTTCCCATACCAGGTTCTCCTTCAATCAACACTGTTCTCGGCGCTGAACACTTTGTTCAACACATTGATTGTAAAATTGATTGTTCTGTCAATGAGGTCAAACGCCATCTTCTGAAACTCAAGCCCAACAAGTCTCCTGGGCCTGACCATATCGCGCCGTGCATTTTTAAGTCGTGTGCTTCGGAATTAGCACCTTCGTTAACGTATATGATAAACAAATCGTTGTCTCTTGGCCTTTTGCCTGAGGAATGGAAACATGCCGACATTACTCCTCTACATAAGAAGGGTTCCAAATCTTCGAGAGAAAATTACCGCCCAATTTCCCTTACTTCAATTGCTTGTAAGATCTGTGAAAAAATTGTTTTGATAGGATGATTAAGTTCTGGCGCGAAATCGACTTTATCAATAGCAACCAATTTGGCTTTTACGAGGAAGATCTACTACAACTCAAATGTTATCAACGTTTAATGACTGGGCGAAATCCGTAATTCATCCACTCCTACCGATGTTGTTTTTCTGGATCTTGCCAAAGCCTTCGACAGCGTTCCTCATGAGCGACTGCTTTTAAAATTGAAATGTAGCGGCATCGACGAATGTTTACTCAACTGGCTGAGACATTTTTTGGTGGGGCGCAAACAACGTGTAGTCGTTAGGGGATCTTATTCTGATTGGTCGTGCGTTACCTCCGAACTCCACAGGGAACCATTCTCAGGCCCCTATTGTTTTTATTGTATATTAATGACATATCTGAATTCTTATCATCTACAGTAAAATTATATGCAGACGACACGAAGATCTACAGAGAGATAATTGACCCTATAAAAAGATAGTCAGCTTCTTCAGGATGATCTTAATAATCTTAGCGCATGGGCTCGTAAGTGGCAGCTACGTTTCAACGCAGACAAATGCGAATCTATGCGAATCACGCATTTACGCGATAAGTCGGTAACTAATTATTTCTTAGAAAAGCCCCTGAAAGACGTGACTAATTTTAAAGATCTCGGTGTCACACTAACTAGAGATCTTTCATGGGGCCATCACATAAGTATCACTGTCAATAAAGCGAACAAAGTTTTAGGTTCCATTAAACGCTCAGTAGGCACCGCTAACACAAATGTTTTTTCTATGCTGTACATGTCTCTGGTACGGCCAATCTTGGAATATGCGGTACCTGTTTGGTGTCCTTACCTTGTTAAGGACATCCATGCCCTTGAAAATGTACAGCGAAGAGCCTCAAGACTCGCTTTAAATCAACGCAAAGGAGAAATGTCCTATGAAGACCGATGCAAACTGTTAAAATGGCCCACTCTCTCTGACCGTAGAACTTACTTATCTTTAGTCGAATGTTATAAGATAGTTTTTGGTTTTATCATTTAAATTTTGAAGACTTCTTTGATATTGCCACGATTCGGTCTACGAGAGCAAATCATCAATACAAACTCTATATTAAACCAGCTAGACTTAATTGTTACAAAAATTCTTTTTTATTAGGATTGTCAAATTATGGAACGAGTTACCGGGTGATATAGTGGAAGCTGACAGCTTTCAGCATTTTAAATCTAAACTTAAATCGTACTTAAATATTTGATTGTAATGATTTTGATTTATATTTTGTCTTTTCTTTTAAGGGAGTTTTTACACAGGGATAACCTCTTAACTTCCTTTTCTAGAAGTATTTTCTTTTTAGTTTTATTTGTATATAATAGTTATCATCTGCTTCTGGAATAAATAAAGTATGTATGTATGTATGTATGTATGTATGAACACTCTTCATACGGGTCTAGTATTGACGACATGTCAACAAATACGTTACTGATTTCTCCTCTCGTTTTCTTTCTTCTGACCACTTTGAGCCTTGTAAAAATATTTCCAAGAAAAAACTGAAATTCCTCACACCATGGAAATGGTGAGAGCCATCCCTCGCGAGTCTTGTACAGCTGGCGAATTCCATTGATAAGCTCAGTCGGATCAAAAATACCTAGCAGTAGCAAAATAAGTAAGAAATCTAATGAATGCAGCATTAAAAATTGTGGTGCCTCTCTGGTATTCGGCACTGGATTTAAATAAGTGAATGAGTACGATACCGTTGCCAAAGAAATTACTTGGACGATGCAAAAAGCTTTTAGTGTATGATTCATGCTTACTGATTAAAAGCCATTTAGATTATGAATTCAGGTAAACCTACTCTGTTTGTTCGGCTTTAAGGGTGTCTGACAGTGAAACTCTGTCGTAAAATAAATTACTCGGGAGATAAATATTCATATCATTGGAGCCGTAGTCTGAGAAAGGATTTTTCGGGATTTACCGAGACTACGAACAAATAAATAGAAACCAAACAACGCCTTTGTGCTTTCTTTGTCACGCGGTTTCATCAAAAGTGCTGCAGAAAACTGGGGGCTCGCCTGCGATGAAGTGGGAGGTTTTTCCTACAGTCTTTTCCTTAGGAACCTATTTTACTCAAGACGATCCTCATTCAACTATTTTCCCATGCAGAATTGAATACTCCACAATATGAGCGCAGGAAGGGTTTAGTTATTTTATTCAGAAATATGCGGATTACATCTAATGCTACTAGGTATTCGGCACTGAATTTAAATTAGCGAACGAGTACGACACCACCGCCAAAGAAATTACTTGGACGATGAAAAAGGTATCAATGTATGATTCATGTCAATTTACTGACCAAAAGCTATTTGGCTTGTAAATGCAGTGGAACCTACTCTGTTAATTTCTAACATCGAGCCAAAGTTAATGCCAATGTTTTCGTTAAAACTGTACTTCGTTTTATTTCGTTCTCCACTCTAATCAAAATATAAAGTTTTCCAAAAAAAAAAAAACAAAGAAAGCTCTTCCGCCCTCGTTTTCACGTCGTTTAATCATAGAAAAAGGAAAACGCTGGAACAAACCAGAGGTCCGGCTGCAATGCATTGTGAAGTTTCGTTCACAGTTTTTCGCTCGGGAAAATTAAAATAACCACATACGCCTTCTCCTGCCCCTTTTTACTAACACAGCCCTCATTCAGAAATTTTTTCCATGTAAAATAGAATACTCTACAAAAAATTTGAGTGGAGGAAGGATTGCATTAGTCTGTTCAAGAATATGCAGGTAAAATCTAACGAATTAGGAAGTTAGATTCATTATTTCCATAACAAAAGTAAAACTAAAATCAGGCAATAACCCTTCTCGGCCAAATGTGTAAGAGTGCTGTCAGAAAGCTATCCAATCTGAGAGGTAACCTGAGATTCCGTGCCATTTCATTCATCCCACACATTACCTAGTATCTTCATTTAGGTTTAACCTAGTAGCCAAGGCGTGCTCTTACAACAATACATTACCTGAAAAGTGTACTCAAGTTAACGGAACGGAATCCCTATTGATAGTTCAGTTTATCTGTGAGTAGCTATTTCTAGCAACCAACCTTCAACTGTGCTTTTCTCCACTGTGGTCGTCAGGCTACAAAGCGTCTCTTTAACCTCCTTCATTTCAATCTCTATCTTCTCAGTTGTGTCTCTGAGGTCACTTAGCGAATCTGCATTAGTAAGAAAGATAAGCGCAATTTCATAAGCACATTTACATCACAAATTCACATAAACGTGCAGATAAACAATGATACCTATGTCAATATCTACTCGATTCTGAACAGATCAAACTCAATAAGACGCTTAGAAATCACAAAAGTGCCGCACTCCAGCAGTTGTACACGAGTACCCACGAACAGACAAAGATACTGCCGATGAAAACACAATGTGGACATTTGGGTTTAATTCTTAATTTTTCAAACATAACGCTAGAATAACGTTCCAAATATGTGACTAGTTCCAACCAAAATGAAAACATGAGTTACCCTGCATTCCTGTGTTTCATCAGGCAAAAAAAAAAAAAAACGCAGAGGAAACCTAGAGACCCGTCTGCAATGGAGTGGGAGGTTTTGCCTGCAGTCTTTTCCTTAGGAATTGTAAAATAACCACATATATCTTGTTCTAACCCATTTTACTCAAGCAGATCCTCATTCAACTATTTTCCCATGTAGAATTGAATACTCCACAATATGAGCGCAGGAAGGATTTGGTTATTTTATTGAGAAGTATGTGGGTCACATCTAACGCTACTAGGAAGTAAGATTCATTACGAGAAAGGTGATACGAAAAAAAGAGACGATAACTACGATCATACATATGTATGAGTGCTGTCAAAACACCATCAAATCCTAGAGGTAGCCAGGGCAGAATATCTCACATTCCGTGGCATCCCACACACTATAGAGTATCTTCATGTATAGCTGCAAATGAACACACAGTGTCAACATTGGGGTTAATTCTTCATTTTTCACACATGACGAAAAAATACCTTCCAAATAGAAGACTAGTTCCAACCAAAATGAAAACTTCATGAGCTAGCCTGCACTGCTGTATTAACTGAAAATATATACTTTTGTAGCCTTCAAATTCATCCACATTGGCAGTGGACAATGTTTTTCTTACCTTCAATTTCTTCAAGCTTGTCTTTGATGCTGTCGTCGTCTTTCTTCCATTGTTTCATCAGTTCACGATAATGCTCCTCGATAACTGGATCCATGCAGTCGTGCTCAAGATTGTCGATTTTAGCTCTAAAATGAGTTCCTCCTAGTCTCACCAAAGCTTCTCGTATTTCCTGCCAGTAAGCACTGAAACTACTGTCATCCACAGAGGCTTGAGGAGCATGGCCGTATACAGTGTTCCTGTAATACTTCACTCTGGCGATGTCATCTTCGGTGCGTATGTCTGTAGCTAGGGGAAGCTCATCCCATCCCTTGGTAGGAGTGCGCAGACTACAGATATTTCTAAGCAGCACTGTTAGGAGTGTGATGTCGAAGTCTTTAGAAGTCACGGCTTTGTGAGTAGGGTACAACTTTCCCCACTGCGTAGGATTCAGCACTTTCTTCCTCCCTTTGTACAGTGATTGCAATGTGGCGTAATGCACTGAGGTTCTTCCCAAAACTGTATGTAGAGTCGCTAGTGGATGTATTTTGTCAAAAGTGGACCGAAGCACCTGAGATCCAACATCCACCAGGAGGCGGCATAGCCTTGCATAGTTGGTAGTCTCTTTCGTAGACGCAAATGGCGAAATAGCTGTAGCCATAATTCTAACTTTTCCAGGACGACCTGTCAAACAGAGAATTGACATTAAGTAATGTTAATCAAACCCATTCGAAAAAAAAACTCCCGATAGCCAATTGAGACCTCTTGAGCAAGGAACACCAACGAAAGAACCTAATAAGAGATTTAATCTGAGATTTTTCATTTCAACCCAGTTTTTAGATTAAGAAAGAGTTTTGTTTTTCAGTTTACAAAGTAACAACCAGAGACATAAACAGCAGAAATGAGAAGCGATTTGAAAGGTTAAGGGGAAATGAGTTTGTATTTCCTCTCTAGGGCCTTAAACCCGGTCAGTTCTGGCTGGTTGACGTTTGATTCTTAATCATCATCATCATCATCATTTTATTTGGTAATGCAGGTTACAAATTGGCAGCCAGGAAGGCTGATGTGGACCTACAAATCACTAAAATAATTAAATGATATATACTATACTGCTAAGATAAAAAACTAATCTAAAAAGAGGAACAATCTTAAAATTTGGGAGAATAATAATAATACCCTATTTCGCTTAAGAAGTATCTAATAATAAAAGCAATCATTGCCAGCGTAACCATTATACCTAAACCTTAAAACCTCCATAGCTCTAAAACGATCCGCAAGCAGACACAAATATATAAATTACAGTGAAGCATCAAAGCAAGACTGCACAACCTCCATTTACCACCCTGCAAAGATCACTGCTACAACTTGGTCACTTGAAGAATGATTGCAAAAGCATCATCCATCACCATTCCAACAAGGACAAAAACTACATAATCAGAAGCAAACTACACTATGCTAAGGAAAATTGTCGTCAATATGGGAATCAGTCTGTTACCAGGGCAGTTAATAGACCAACTCCGTGACTACACCAGGAAATACCAACACAACAAATACGGAAATTATATTACTTCAGGTCACGTTGTTTAGAACAATCACTAAATAGCAGCCTACAGCAAGAAGGCACCATTTAGAAAGACTGGTTATGGGTCAACTTGTCAAAACTCATGCTACACACCCTAACTATCCCAATTTTCATGGAATTAGGCAATACCGGGTATTAATCATTCCTTTCAGTGCAAAACTAAATGTAATTCCTTACAGGTATATCACCCAACATGACACCAGGTCTCCCTCCCAGCACCCACATTCCTGGATGGAGGAGCAGCTTAAAAGGAATTTGAAGATTTCCTCCCTAGTCGCCATTTCACTATCGCACCTGGAGACATTAAAAGCACTTCTAAAACTCCGTCAATTCATGGTTTCTCTACTTATTGATGATTAGACCAGTACAGCTCTAGAAAACAGATTGCACAGTCACTGATAAGAAATGCACCTTTTTAAGCTATGTACTAACTCTACCAGATGAAGGTAACTCTAATTGTCACCAATACAATACAGAGTCATTGAAGCTCATGTACCGGTACAAAACGTGGTTTCTCAGTTCATTAAACTCCGAAACAATAACATTTAAGTCAACAGACTTAAAAGTCTCCGTTATATTATCACCTTCATGAAAAAAATGTGTCCACTGGCAAAAATGTGTGTGTCTAACAGCAAAACCCACCTCTTGCAGTTACCAATACAATAAGGGCAAAGAAACTCAACAAACAACCTTGTTCTACATGCAGCATCAAAAGGAAGGGGATGCAACCTCCATCCGCAACTGAAAATGCAATGAAAAAGCAGCTTAATGTGATCCCAAGCATGCAACAGACCTGCACAAGCATCACCCAATCACCATGCACTCTCATGAGGCCAGTAGGAATATAATTTTTAACAATGGAGCTTAATTCTGCTGAGAGATTTTCCAATGGTTTGGTAAACATTATTTTACCAGAAGAAAGATATTTTTATGCCCTGTCATGTACATGAGACAAAGAAGAAAATCAGAATCCCCATGAGAAGTTGAATTTTAGACCTTCAGCCAATTCCAGCCTCCACTAAGCCAGTACCAGCAACTATAGATCTATGGTGAGCAAGGCCATTAATTACTAGGTTCATATCTAGCACCCCTACCACAAACTGCTGGCAGGTCGTCAACCACTGACATTCATTATTCTGTCAACCGAAATAACGAACTCTGTGACTACACCTTTTCCTTGTTCCTGGGTAAGAGAGGGGAACTCAGACTGAATTAGTAAATTTTCTCACTAACAACCTTCAGTTGTAAATTATCTACCCAATAGATAAATTCGGCATGAGTGACACTTATTTTTACATCTCCAATTGGTGTTCCAGTGCATTAATCCTTACACGAACAAAGCCCTAGACATCAAAATAAACTGCAGCCTTGGTATACACCACCACTTTCAAACAATTACAAAGTCCAACAGTAAAAAGAAGCTCTGGCCACTATTATAAGGATAAGTGCAGCATTACTATCCATTTGGCACCAATGCCATAGCCATATTTTCTAGCTGCCCCTGACCCATAATTATTTACAGCAAAACAAACATCTAAACACAGCTAGCACCTGGGGTTGCAGTGCTTGGAAGTTCAAATCTCTCATCACCTAGCACCTTAAATAATCAACCAGACAATCTTGGGCATATGGTTACCAAGATCCTTTTACAAAGAAAGATATACATCTATACAATTGCATGATCAGACTGAGTAATACGCATCCTTCAATTGGCCACTCCTAGAATGACCATAGAAATTTCAAAATAACAGTTGTTATACTGTAGCAACATTACTGAGGCATTATCCATCACCACAACCACAAGGAGAAACTATTGATAATAATCTTGAAACAACATTGTAGAGGGTGATAAACTAAAATGATCATCATCCACAAGCACCATGCAACACACCTATTTGGGGATTTTAAATACATCACGTACTGCTCTATAAGCGGGTGACCAACAATTGCATAATTGATAAAAACCAGTGCGCAATCTCCTTTAACATAATGCATACAAGTATAAGTCAGATCAACCACAAGTGAAAAAATCTCTCAACATAAAATCAGGTTTCCCTAACACTTCACCAAAACACTAAGCACCATACAAATCTGCAGAACACAGCCCACAAGTCAGTTATATCTGAGAGAAAAAACTCTCTGCTAGCTGCCCTGAGGCAACTACTTCAATTAATAAAACTGAAAAGCTCCATACATGCAATCACCAGGACTCACATGCAAGAATGGTCAATATATACACTCGCATGAAACTTCTCTTAGCCACTGCAGCGCCCTACAATAATGACAACAACCAGACAAACACTTAACTGCAGAGCTTCCAAAGAATATCATACACCTCCACTCTCAAAAGTAGATAATCTATGTAATGTGCATCACAGCAACTTCATTTTGGTAGAATATTGATCAAAACCAGTAAAAATTAGTGCATACTTTACTGTTTGATCATCATACAACACCTGCAGTTCCATGAACAGACCCAAAATTGTACCAATGCCATTACCATTTTTATATTAAGATAACTATTTCTGGTATTTCCACATGTTTGTAGCCAAACATAATCACAGCCATCAATCCCAACATAATTAAATGGGTAATTAATATCATGTACAGTTCTTGATATAACATAAATACCAGGCAAAATAATAAACACTCACAGTACAGGTTTCTAATATGACACTCAATTTTACATTGGAAGAGCCCTTAGGGTTACTGATAATGATGTTGAATTCAAATTTCTTCATCAAGTTGTGAAAACATTTAACTAGCCTCTAAGGAGCAATATTGATATTGTCCACAAGAGAAGAGTCTACTGGGGCTCCAAAGAGCTGAAAGGCATTGGACATTTCAATGTTCCAAGTCTTTCATATATCGAGAGGCTTTTTAAATATCTTCAAAGAGAAAATGTTTGCAAATAAATGATCAAATTTATAACTGCAGATTGCAGTAGTTAAACACTGCTTTAATTACTAAACTTAGATTGTTCTGAACTTTTTGTGAGAGTACTGTTCATTGACTCTTAATAAGCCAGTTGATACCATTTTGGAAAGTTACATTGCACTGAACTGTATGAATTTACAACTTTCTCTATAGTATTATCAGTGTAATGGCCTTTGAAAGTTGAAGTATTGCTTGTTGTAAGCTACATTTCTGAAACATTGCATGCTATATTTTAATTTGTTATCTTCAGATATTATAAAAGAAGGTACTGACTCTAAATACGATATGTCTTTCAGTAAACTTAATTCACACTTGGACTCACACTTTTTGAAAATTTATACTCCTCATGTCAGTGTGGTGTTACTTCTCCTAATCAATGTACAGTTGTTGTTATGGTTATTGTTAATGGTGTTTAGTTAAAAGCACTGAAAACTTGGATGTGATAAATTTGAACAAAATTGGTATGCATGTTGCATTTATTTCTCCCAAAAGAATTACCATAATTAAAGTCATGCAGTCATAATGTCCATAATATAATATGTCTATAATGTGATGTCCGTAATGTAATGTCTGTAATATAGTGTCCATAACATAAAGTGGGCTTTATTTTTTCTTACCTTTTTCCAGGATTTTAGTAATTTTTGTTACAGACATTATGTAATGTCCATAACAAAATAATGTTACTTGCTCTCATTTACAAAGTACACCCATTTTGGAAAAAATCTCATCTGTAAGTTCTTCTTTGTGTTGAGTTCTGTTAGTTTTGTTCCTCTGGTGAGATTAAGGAATACATGTGTCTTACTTAAATCACTTCAAACCTTTCAGCATGCCAGCTATTTTCATACACTTTTCATTGGACAAAAATAAACAGCTCTCTTAGCCATTTCCCACAAAGTCAACTTTCAGATTACTATTTTTTAAACAATTTAGGGTCTCCTTATTCCAAAAATCCATGATTGGGCTGGATATGAAAAAATTTTTAAATTTCACCATTTAAGCAGTTGTAAAATGATGTGGGCCATGATGGTTTTCATTATTTTTATCATCCCCTACAAGTCACTCTGGTCATCTGATGAGATATACTTTTACAGAAACTGAACAAATTGGCTGTTAATAGCTATATGTAATGGCAATTTATGAATATCTTGAACATGTTGAATTGTTTACACAATCGTCACAGTTTTTCCAGCACTGAGTAAAATTTTGTGCTTCAACATGCTACAAACATCATCAAAAGTAACCTCCACATGAAAAAAGTAATTAAAGTGTCTGCTTTAAATCCCAATGCAACTCATTCGCAGCCACATGTTCCAACTTTGTTTTTGCTAATCAGGAAGTTGATAATTATAACCACAAATATTTTTAAGTAGAAGCATGTTGTGAGCTTGCTATTGCCCTTCTCCCAAAAATCATATGGAGGGTCAAAAATACAGAACCTTGCATTAGAGCAAGCAGTTGCATCCTATATTGGTCATTACACCTGTAATGACCAAAGCAACTTTTTAATCATTAGATGCATTTCAGCTGCCAGGTGCAACATAATAAGAAATGGTGTCAAACACTAGTGAAGGATGACAACATTTGATTTATACTCCTGAGCATGAATTCAAAGGATTGAACCACTAGGTAAAGATTGATGCAAATTTAATTAGTGACCCATCTGGCTACTTTAACTCTATGTTTCACATTCAAAGCAAAATGATATTCATGAAAAAAAGAGAATAGCACATAACAACATAAACATTTTCATTCCCATGAGAATAAGACAAAAATCCTTACATATATGTATCATATTTAAAGAGGGAAAAATGGAAAAAAAACATATATACCTACCCTGTTAAGATTTCCTGCCTTCAAAAAATCACAATATGAGCAGTCAGAAAATGATGGACATGTAATAATTTCTGAAAAATAAAAACATAAAATAAATATTAATCAAATGTGAGAGATATTGACAGTCACAAAAATTCCATTTAAGGTGCTATATTTATTCCTTTAACTCCCATGAGTGACCAAGACCAAATTTCTCCTTACAATATAAATACATTATCAACCAAATAAATGACAAGAATTAAGAAAAATTTCAATTCAGGGATAATTAGTTGATCCAATACTAAATCCTCTGAACTAACATTACAAGAGTTGTATAACTGACAGTAAGGAGAATAACAAATTGGATCTGGGAGTTAAAGGGTTAAGGCAGTAATTGTTGCTATTGAAAAGTGTAATGAACTGAAGAAGCTCTAGGACAATCAGAAAGACATAGACAACATAAGGCTGTTTCACTCAATCATGCTGAAAAGGGGTTGTTCGAAAATAATTGCAGCCAAGAGGAATCCTACAATGGCAAAACCTTCAGATATTTCAATTCATGGATACCGCATGTGTTTGCTATTTTTAGAACACAGCAGGTTGAACTGGAAACTGAGGAAATCTAATATGTAAATATGTCATTCAACAAATTGCCAAGGAAAACTTCAATAGTTTTTGGGAAACTTAGCTTTGAATTGGCTGTTGCATAATTTAACATCTGCAGACTATTCAGTGGTTCCTGTTACTAGTAAAGTAAAGCTATATGCTGAGGCACAAAGAAAGATTGCTTTGGGATTAGAGTTCAAATGCTCAATAGCCTCTTCAGTGCACACTGAACCTCATTCGCCATTTTCTTTCCATCCCACCCTCCTCAGTGGTTATTTGTTATGGAATATTCCCTATCTTTTGGGTTTTCTGTATATGAAAGCCTCTCTGTTAATATTATGTTTTAGCACTATTAGATTTATCAGCTTACATGCATCAAATAAGAGTCACATTTTGTGGAAAATAAGTTAATCATATAAAGACTGCATGATTTGTCCCAAACACTACTTGTGGTCAAATGTCCTATGGTTTATCAGATTGAATTGAAAGGCACAATAGTTTTGTTGAAAAAATATCATCGATAAATAATGCCTAACTCGAGTTCTCGGAAAACATCTCATTGAAATAGAGAAGGCAAGTCGTTTTCTAGCACTGGAAAATGAACTGTGAGTAAAGGCTTTCGCTTTCAGTTTCCTGTCGCCTTCGAAAATAGCAACTTCCGCCTAGACTGATACGTATTGCGTGTTCCAATCTTCACTAAAGCATTTCCCTGTCCCTTTAATCTAGATCAGAAACGACTGCTGGAAGTAAAACAGCTGGTCTGAGTCCAAAACAGACCCTTACTAAAGTATGAAATTCAAATAAAGTGACCTTTTAGTGCGCATCAATTCATAATTCATGAATCTACTTACCTCTCAGAATGGTGATTTAAACGAAATAATTACACCCGGGGTACGTGAAGAGGCTACGCAATCGTCCTGAAAAGAGAAAAAAAGTAGCTTATGTATCAAGTATATCTTCACCATACGCTTATTTCCAAAGGCTTGTGTTAAAATTTTCGTAATCATACGCATTTACGCGAGTGAAATACCGTAAGTCAACAACGGGTTATTGATAAGTTAAAGTTAAAGTTACGGAGTGAATAACTTTACTATTTTGTCTGTACCTGCTCTTTCTTCGGGTCAACTCTTCTCACGGACAGCAATGTGAGTTTAAACCGATTTGTTTCCTTGTTTCCTGATCTTCCGTCGAGAGAACGAAGAAAGTCACAAAAGCTAGATATTCTAACAATCTCAGAGAAGGGAATTGTTCATGACATGCGCAGATAACATTATTTGCAAATGAAACATAACACCTAAAATCGAGTAACACTATCACGCAATGAAACTAACTTTGCAATGCATTTCTCGGCCTCAGAAAGAAACATCGTTAAAAAAAAAATTGCAACGGTATTCTGTAAAGGTTCACATGAACAATAAGCAACCTTTATTTCTCCTAAAGCTGGAGACGAGTTTTGGTTAAAGTTGCTTCTACACAACAACGTTTGATTCACTTCCTACCACCTCTCACTACAGGTCACGCATCTTAACAAGACACGCACGGCAGATTTCAAATAGCATTTTATTGCCAAAACGACTGACGAGTGATGCGTTCGTCGTCTTATGTTTTAAAAATTTTTAAAGGCCGGAATCTGCCCCTTCCTTCCCTCCCTCCCTTTAAAAACACGGCCAGAAACTCTTAACTTCGACCCTCGTAGTTGCCACTTAATCCCAATCAAAACCTCCCTCCTTCTGATTACTAATAGTTGGAGTCTGATCACCAAAGCTAAACTGTAAACCAATCCTTTGAGTCTGTTCCTTTGACGTCTCCATCATCGACCCGTCCAAAGACTAGCTAGGCGAGAAGGACTGACCTAGATGGACCTGATCAGAATATTGTACGCAATCAACACATGGACAGAGAGTCGGATTGCCCTGCAGGGATTAAAGAAAGGAACTCTGCGACTGATTTTAAATTACAGGATAAATGTTCTCAAATATACTTTTAAGCTGACGCCTACAAAGGAAAAGTATAAAGTTTTCAAAATAAATACTCCATAAAGCTCTACTAAAGAATTATTGACCTTATTCCTATAACTTGCAATTTATCTGTGCAAGCTTTAATAGTGAAGATAAAATCTGAATTGAACCCTGAGTCAAACACTCAGAAAGACTAGCTTCATGTGGTAAGGTGCCGCTCATTATTTATCGCCTATGGGGGGGCTGGAGGATTTTGGTTGTGTCACGACTTAATTTACCTGCCTCCCCCATAATATACTTATGATTCCTTATTGACAGTCAATTGGCGGTCAGTTTTCTATAGTCCCCCTTAAAACTCTGATAGCGACAACTGACCAGCCTCCGTTCATTGAAAACCATGTAAATCCCATCCCCCATCCCCCTCCCCCCTCAAAACAAAGCAAAAAAAAAAAAAAGAAGGAAGATGAATCGTCCCTCCCCCGGTGATAAATAAAGTGTCTGGTCTCTAAAACTCTTCACATAACTAAATTTTGGTAGTCTGATGCTTATTTATTCCAAATTGAACTCGAATCATATGATTACCTCTACAAATTCAATTTTGTTAGCGTCTAGTTGACTTTGATTGCCTCAGCAATAGATGTAGCGCCGGCTTCACTTATACCATTGTCAGACAAATCCAAATTGGTTTAGCGTCTCGTTGACTTTGATGGCCTCAGCAATAGATGTAGCACCAGCACCACCAATACCATTGTAATACAAATTCAAATTGGTCAGATTCAAACAAGTTCCAAAAGACTTTGCTAACCGTGAGTGAAAATCACTCATGTCTTTTACATTCGTTAATGGCCTCTAATACAACTTTTCAACCACTGCCTTCATTTTCGTTCATTTGATAAACTCTTTACGAGAGCCACGACTTGTTCGTCGCATTTCATGGCTAAAATTCCGCACGAAAACAAAAGTACCTCTTCAAGTTTAACAAAGTACCTTGGATCGGAAACCAGTTCGTCAGATCTAATTTCCTTGCTTTGAATCTGAGCACAAATGAAGAATACTGCAAAGAATTCTTGAAAAAATTTACCCAAGAAATCCAAATTCAGTCAACTCTTTTGCGTGGTTTCCCATCTGAGTTTCATTAAAATCCAATTTGTCGTTAAGTAAACCATTCAACGCTAACAACCCGAGGGGATTCAATTGCGGTTTGTAAAGATCTGTCCGGTCCTCCCTTCTTTTTTCTATATCTTCTCAAGACACATTCAACCATATCCAAGTACAGTTGAGCTAAAGCGTGCCTTTCCTTAAAGTACTTGGTGACAAATCCTCTCACATGGTGTTTAGTAAATCCTTAGATTTGAAGCAGCGCGTCACAGCATTTTCTCACCTCTTTTACAGCTTCGTGTCAAGCTGTTGCAACTATGTGGCATCCGGGGAGTAATCTTCCATCAATTTATTCGGAAAAATCGACAATTTACTGAATGGTAACCCATCCAATCCATCCAATATCAATAAAATGATATTGTTGTTTGACTTCTTCATCGATGTCTCGGGGCAGAAGCTGCTCATCAATGACTTCCCAAACATCAGAATGGGTGTCTGGACATTTAAGCAACAATACTGCTTTGAATGCTGTGGAGCCGCAGCCCTGAGGTGTTTGCCTTTTGGTGGCCTAGTCGTAGGCGTACTTTTTACAGTAGGTGGTTTTTCTCATACCAGGTTCTCCTTCAATCAACACTGTTCTCGGCGCTGAACACTCGTCATACGGGTCTAGTATTGACGACATCTCAACATATACGTCAGTGATTTCTCCTCTCGTTTTCTTTCTTCTGACCACTTTGAGCCTTGTAAAAATATAGCCAAGAAAAAACTGAAACTCTTCTCACCATGGAGACGGTGAGAGCCATCCCTCGCGAGTCTTGTACAGCTGGCGAATTCCATTGATAAGCTCAGTTGGATCAAAAATACCTAGCAGTAGTAAAATGAGTAAGAAATCTAATGAATGCAGCATTACGAGTAAGAATCACATATCAGTAATCATATGCTTGCAATATACAGGAAGTTTACCTCCATGGACATAGTTAATCGAGCTGGCTTGCCACAAGTCTACTGTATGTAAGTGTTAGAGTGTCTGAAGTAATGAACGGAAGGTGGTAAGTTTGAGTCCCAACAGAATAAAAGTCGTACGCACTCACTTACCATTTCTAGTGTTCTTAATGGTTCTCTCAATTTCGGTTATATGAAAATGATTTATCGAAGTGTCGCTCAGCTAAATCTATTTTTGGCTGGAAGCAATTACTTCTTTTTATACATTGGAAATTAACCAAAGCAAATGCCAGTCAACGTCATATTGGTAACAAAAAGTGAAAGTCAAAAAGTTTAATGTAACTTGATTAAATGGGACTTAAATTTTAAGTTTAACTTACAGCACTAGCCTCAGGTCAACGCTTTATGGTCAAGAAAAGGTATAACGTTGTCACAACAGAAAGAACAACCGGTTACCTTAAAAATTCCATTATAAGAATTACAGAATTTGTGTCGAAATATCTACGCTTTAACAGGATCTTTCATTACAAAAACTCAACTTCGACTGCGGGTCTGTTTAAGCAACCATAATACTGGTTTCTCCGTTCGCTACCACGCAGCAAAACATTTGAACATTAGGGTATAACGTTTTACTGATTTAACCAAATGTTTGTCTCAGTGGGAATATAACTCTTAACTCGTACACTCAAAGCGTGAAATTGAGGTCAGGATATTGAAACGAAAGCTATCCTCGATCGCAAGCTTTCTCTGTTCCAGTTAAACAAAACACTAAATCAACCTGTTCACAAAATTTTTCGCTTGCCTATAAGTTGGAACTCAAAGACGCCTGATTGCTTGTCTAGTAAGTATTGTATGTCGTACCCTTAAACGTTTCTTCGATCGTAGATTAATGTATTTTGTGTGCAGCTGAATAAACTGCTTGCGTTGAATTTTCATTCAGCTTCGGACGTAGCTTAACTGTTGCTTATGTGATCCAAGTTTTGCCGTTTTGACGATCAGATATGATATTGACTTCAGCTGGCTTTAATTAGAAGAAAAATTGAGAGTTAAAACGGATTACCAAAAAGTGAAAAAATTTAATAACTCACTGATTCCATTCGCTCTTGTTTCTGGCTTTAATTGAAATTTTGATGTCTAGAAAAGCCAAAGAAGTGTCGGGAATTTCCCAGGTATATTTCAGAGCCAGGCGAAATGAATTGATAACGGTTATTAATTGAGTCAGTTCATCCCTGGTAGAGGAAGTGGCGCTGATACAGTCGTCGATGTAGCGACCGTAGAGTTCAGGTTTGGGGCCGTTGTATTGACTGAAAAATTGATGTTCGGTAAAACCTACGAAACAATTGGCGTAGCTGGGTCCCATTTTGCTTTATTAAAAGCAATGAACTTTTCTACCCCGCATTTTTTACCCCATGGCTCAGGTGTCATCTTTCCTTGAATGTTTTCTTCAATACACCCATTTCATTTACATAACGATAAAGCAAAAAGACCAGAGTGTCTATTAAGAAGCTTTTAACAAATCATATTTTATTCCAGCGTCAGTCTGAACTACATATTAACCTAACAATTTTTTTCTGCTTCTTGAAGCCTCTGAGTTTGGGTTTGTGTTTGGGTTTGGGTTCGATCAAATTCTTGATCCACATATTTTTTTAAACACGTGGAATTCAACGTCTCACTTTTACTTTCTTTGGCTACACAGGTTTTCTGAAGGGGTCAATTTTTTAAATCCAATTGACAGAATGAACCGACAGGAATCTAGAGGTAACATTTCATCTGTACAAGCTCATTGGTCAAGTCGTGCGGTAAATTATTCCATAGGTTCCTGTTTCTGACTTGTTGGATACGAGATTGGTATAGCCAGTTCATATCAGGCGCGGGCTCATGGAACAACTGTTAAATATAGTGCACATATTATAATAAATATATACAGTAATTGTACGAAAGACAAAGGTTCTTTGATTAAGGCTTACGTCCATTTCTTAGGCAAGACCACTGAATTAAAAAAAATGCGGGGACTTCGATTCATTAACCGGTTCTAGGCGTTCATTTAGTAAAACAGAACGAAATAAATGAACTGTGCGATAGTACCAACAAAACAGTACGCGACCCGACCCACCCCTGACCCGTTTTTTTCACTCGGCTGCTATCATCGCATCATTTACCATAATTACACTTTACATTTGCAGGAATTGTACGTGAAAAGTTAAGTGGTTTTTTCAAAGATAATACTCTGGACGCCAGTAATAGCAATGTACACTGTATGTCCCGTTACAAATCCATTTATTTCCTCTTTCACGACAAAGCGCAGTTTACGTGACGATAACTACCAGTAATTCCCAGAGCACAAACTATTGTTGACTGTTCAAAATTGTATGGTCAGCACCCGTTCTCATTAATTTTTTTTTTATCCTCTCCAGGCTACTCGAGAGAGTACTAATGATTTGATAAACATCTCCAGGGGTAAAACCTGTGCATTTTAATGAATAGGTGTTAAAATATTATCACACTTTCGCGACATGCTCCTGATTGTGGCGACAAATCCTAGGAGATAAAGTTATTTACCTGCATAAATCAGATCTTAAAATTTAGCTTCTTTTGGTCTTACCATACCATGTATTTCACAATTTCTCTACATTTCGTTTCCCGCAGAAAAGTTAGGAAAAAGTCATTTCCCTCTGCGCAAAAATCTTCAAAATTTTATAAACAATTTTCAGCAAATTCATCTCTCAAAGCTAAGACGATTGCACAAGTAATGTGGCAAGTATAATTTTTATTAGGATAGGGCTAATTTTTGATTAATAATACTTTCAGTGTAAAAGTATTTCGAGTTAGTATCGCAGGTAGATGCGGTCTTAGGGAAAGCAGTTTATGCGCCGGATAGCTTTCCTAAAACCAAGCGGGTTTTGCGGCAAAACAATTTTTTAGCAATTTACTAAAAATGCAGACAACTACGGCACACAGAACGAGATCTCATCAATCTAGTTAACTGGATATTTTCCGCACTATCCTGCCTTTCAGAATTGAGTCAGAAAATAAACTGAACTCCAACGCTTGTGTCGAGCATGCGTGTAAGTGCTAAACATGTTAAAGAGAAAATGAGAGTATACTTTATCGGTAAACTGATAAAAGCGTTACAGCATTTAAGAATATAAAATCAATTGAGTTATAACGTTCCAGCCTAATCGCTTCACACAAAATGGCTTTTTCTACCAAGTAAGCGTGTGAGGAAAAGGTGATTCAGCCCTGAAACTTGTTGTGGCAAAGTGTTCAAACTGTTAGCCGGTCATATACCGCGGATTCTATCTAGCTACACTATTAAATCCTCGACGTTTGCATACAACTGCTTGTCGTACGTTGTCATGTTGATCAGCTTCTGCAAAAAAGAATAATATAATAATCAGCATCATTAAAAAAGTCTTCCTCTTACGTTATAAGCGTTTATCCTCACAAGTGGCCAGTTTTTCACACCAAAACAAATTCAAGAAAGTATTTTATGGTGACGTCTGCAACTCTTTGTGCGTCTCAATACAATTTTGCAATAATCCTACGATCTTTTAAATAACCATAATGAGTCAATTGTCCTCCTTGTTTTTCGTATAGTGCTAGCTTCAGTGACATAACAAGAAGATGCAATCCCAACTTCGTAAAAATTACGCTATCTAAGCTAAACGCTATTAAGTTTAAAACCCTATTTAGCTGAGCCTAAGCCAGTCGGTCTAACGTGAAAAGAAACTTTCATGTTGATCAAAATTCTCACCTTGTGTAGGGTTTCCATGTCCTTAAGCTGATTTTTCAATTTAGTAAAAGTTGGTCTTGCATCTGGGTCATTCTTCCAGCATTTCATCATAATCTGATACCTGGTATTGTTCAAATGATCTTTTAGAGAACGCGAAGTGAACGTTTCCTTGTAGGGTAAGAGAGAACGAATTGAAAAAGCACTTACAATTCTTCATCGACGTGTTGTGGTTTAGGCATCCTGTATCCATCCTGAAGTAATTTTGCAATTTTTCTGCCATCCATTCGTGGGTAAGGTGAACCACCTGGAAGAACCAGAAGACCATCGAAATATAAATGTGACGAAAAAAACGACCTTCACTGAAACACCACCCATGTCATTTGATGTAGTTTGAAGCTCATTTCGTTTGTCTAACTGAACACGTTACATTGCTTAATTGAACATGGTATATAGCAAAAAACATCTACAGGGTCTTATAAATCTCCATTCGATGTTACCTATGGTAAAAATCTCGTACAGCAAAACTCCATCTGCAGAAAGACAAATCAAACAAATATATATTGGGTGACTGAAGACATTAACATTTTATACGACAACTAAAATATATGTATTCTTTTACAAAGCATAGAATTCATTTCCTGATTAAAACTGATAAAACTTCGAGAAAGATGTTTTTCGTCTTGTCACGATTGTGGGACGAAGGAAAAATTTTGAGTCCCCACGAGGAATTGAACCTCGGAACTCGCGCTCCGATTCTCTCTCTTGTTTTTATTTACAAACATGACTCTATCGACATTGCTGATCCTTGCAGTATGCAGGACGCGTGTCATATGAACTAAGTAATAGATCTAACTCACAGTGGTATCAGCATCGGAGCGCGGAATCCGATGGTCTGAGGTTCGATTCCTCATGGGGAGCGAAGATATTTTCATTGTCCAACGCTCGTGAGAGGATGAAAAACATCTTTCTCTATTTCTTTACCGAGCCCAAAACTTACCCTCCCTCTTATTCTATTGGTAAAACTTGTTGGAAAATTGCTACGGGTAATAATCGGGTATACTTACACATCACTTTTGGTGGTATATTTACCATACATCAAGGCCTCATAAGCTGTCCACTTCACTGGAAGACGGCCCTAAAGATTTAGAATATCACTTTTTTGAAACAGCTAAAAAATTATAGGAGGCGACCGGTCAAAGACAGTGATATTTAAAATTATAATCGTATACAAATGGCTGTTTTCATTATGGTCCCATCCAAGGATTTTGTAATCGAAATCAGGAGTATATCGGCTCTACCACAACAATGATCGTGAAAGATCAGTAAACTGAACGATATGTAGTACCGTCCCCACCTCCCCTCTTTCTTGATTACCTTAGTCTTTCGTTCATAAATATTTTCCTGCTGCACATCTCTGGCCATTCCGAAGTCTGTCACTTTACAAGTTTCCTTTTGTCCAACCGACACATACGGGCCGCAAGGTCTCGGTGAATGATCTAAGAACGCATTGATACGAGAGCAAAAATTAGCGATTCCAGAAGAAAAAGAACTGGAATGAAATGATTCAGATAGGAAAATAGAAATATCCAGCGACATAATATGGTGTGTGTATTTCTCTTTCTTCCAGATGGCAGAAAATTAAAATTACTATAATTACTGCTCCATGTTCCAAAGAGAAGCAAACTACTTTATTTATGTAATACCTGGTTTTTTCATAGAAAGCTTATCTTAAGATTTTATTCGAAATAGGATTCTGTAATGTAGCAGTTTAGCAACCAAAGACGAATTTTTGAATTTCAAGTTTTAAGAGGCGATCTCTGTAAGAGCGGTCCAGGGCATTTCGCATCGGAAAAAAGTTTTCCCTCAAACTTTGCCCCATAAACTATCTTTGGTAACAAGTAAATAAAACCACATTAGTTTCTGGAAATACGTCAAAATAAAATTTTTAGAGCTCTCAAAAGTCAAAGCTGCAAAAGGCCCTTTTTTGACCTCTTGCGACATCAAAAATTTCAAAAGTTGAATAGCCCGGTCTTCGTATCACACCGCATGCAGCAAAAAATATTTTGTATTCTTAAAGTGTGTGATATATAAGGTGTAAAAAATGCATTTCAATTTTGATATTCGTTTATTCAGAGGCTCGTCATAATTTATTTAAAAACACTCGTTGGACAGCTTTCTGAAATTGGTTAAAAGTACTCTTTCTTTCTTGGTTGATATTGCTCAAGTCCAGACCAGACCATTAAAAACTCCGCTTGATTTCTGCTAATAAGATGTTTGGCTGCAGAACAAAATAAAAACATCTTGCACTTATTGATTTTCTTCGCCGAGGTGACTTCGAACTTCTAGCGATATTGCTAGCGCGCCGACCACAAAATTTATATTTGATTCGGATTCAGTCCCCTTCTATTGCTCTCACACATCCAGGAGAAAATTAGAAACATAAGTATCACATTCACACGAAATGAAAATATTTCATACTTTATGAAGGAACAAGCATATCAGCAAAAAGTAACACATTTTTTGTCAATATTTACCCGATCTTCTTTCCCGCTTCTTTAGACTCGTAGATGGAGCAGGTATGCAAAGGTCCCGTATGTCCGGCTGCCTCACAAAGATTTGAACTATTAGTTCTTTGTTACTTTTAAATTACTTGAAGAACCTCGAGGAACCTGTATGAAAGAAATGCGGCCTCGCCTCTTCAGAGTTGCTAAAAAGATGTGGAATGAATGGACTTAAGAGACGGACAGTCTCAACAGGTATTCCTGCAACAAAAATTTATCCCTTAATTTGCTGTTATACATTTCTCATAATTATCAAATGTTGTTAGGAAATATGAATAGACAAACATGCATTCACAAACATGTCCTTCAATAGCGAAATCCGCTATTGAAGTCATTCCTAGAAAACGCAATGCGAAAATTAGGGGCAAACCAGAAACTAAAATCTGGAATCTTTTGTGTTTTGGAATCCGGAATCTGCAACGGTAGAATCCGGAATCCAGCAGCTGGAATCCGGAATCCACAGCGTGGAATCCAGAATCTAATACTGTCCTGGATTACCTTACATGGAGCGAACAACAGACTCCAATAAAAAAAATTTAAGGACTCTTTTTGAACTGCTCAAACCTCCAGATAAGTCTTTTGCCTCCATAGTTATTAATTTTGGTGTTGAGAATGTTCACAAGAAAATTTAATGTAAATTGTCGCGGCTACGACATCATATTTCATTTTTCCGGGGAATCGTTCTTGTACCTACTCCACACCGCTGTATTGTGGCAAAGCTTTATCAGACTTCATCAGATAATTTGGTCTATAATTATCAAAGTTACCAGCAATAGAGGTTAACTTAAAAAAATTTTGGTTATAACAGATTCTGCCTCTTATCTAATGAATTCTGAAATTGCGATTCTTTTAACAAGATCTGCAATTAAACATTCTTTCCAGAAGAACCTTCTACTTCTTTGCCTGCTAGAAAGAATCCTCGTTCTTGAGAAAAAGAATTCCGGATTCTTGTGGCAAGAGTTTCTGAAATTGCAATTCTGTTCGTAAGATTTCCCATTAAATATTCTTTCCAGAAGAACTCTCTGCTTCATTACCTGCTAAAAAGAATTCTCGTTCTTGAGAAAAGAATTCCCGATTCTTGTAGCAAGAGTTTCTGAAATTGCAATTCTGTCCATAAGATTTGCAATTAAACATTCTTTCCAGAAGAACCCTCTACTTCATTGCCTGCTGAAAAGAATTCTCGTTCTTGAGAAAAGAATTCCCGCTTCTTGGGACAAGAGTTTTTCAAATAGAGATTTTTTTCAAGATATTCAGATGTAATGCATTCTTACCACAAGAATTCTCTCTTCTATTCAATCTTGTTTCAAGAACCTCGATTCTTCTTGAAAGAATCACCATTGAAATGATTATTCTGATAAGAATTTTGGTTCTTAAGGGGAGAATATGCTATTTGGGGAATTTAGAGTGCTATAAAACTATAACTGTGTTATTTGAGGATCGAAATCCAAACTGTTTCATGTTTTGATTGCTATGTTCCGAATACAATAAATTTTCCATCGATTCTGGCATCCAAAGTCAGTTGTTCGTTAGTCTTTCGTTGCCCATCAAAGCCTGAAAATTTTCCGGATATTTGCCCGATGATGAGCAAGTTTCCCGTACGGCGTCTCAAGTTCTAGGAAACTGAGAAAATATTTACTCTGACATGCTAATATCCAACCAAGAAAATCCAGCCAAATTCAGCAATATGGAAACAAATAACGGGGTCAACCTCAAAAACTGGGGAATATATACATATCAAGTGTTACAATTCCCAATGGATTCGAAAATATGAACCTGTTTCCAACAAACGGGAAGAGCTGACCTAAGCACTAAGCCACGAGGTTTAACAATTTGGCTCTAAAGACACAATTTCCTCGCGGGTAGTTTCAGGAATAGAGCTGAAAATTATATGGTAAATCAATTACTTTACCTTGGCGTGAATCGTCTGCTTAGCAACGTCAAATAAGTCTCTCGAAGTAGAGATCAACCGCATCCAATCTGCAACCCAGCCATGTTGAAGACGGCTGTCAAATGAGCAAAAAATTCTTTCGGCTTGAAAGTTAACCAAGGAAGACTAGAAACGAGTTTCTAGTCTCTTTCAGTTCTTTAATATTCCAATATTCCAATAAATAACATAATTTAATTTGCTTGTTAAATAGGAAATGTACGTTTTTGTCTACTTTACACGTTAAGAAAACAGGTTAGGGAGTGATTCTTTATTAGCAAATTCCTTCTTATTCGTATTAAAAGTCATATTAAATAAATAAAAAAGTTTTATATTCAGAGCTTTCGCTTATTATTGTAGACGCTTGGACTCGTACAACGATCGAAGCTTCAACATCCTCCCCGGGCAACTCAAGGGAATTTTCCAAAAGGGGCCTTACCGGAAGAGGGGGAATTTGAACCTTGCTTGGGTGGGGTGGGAAAATTTGAACTTGAAGTATCAAGTCCTTTCGGTGGAATCAGTACACATGTTTTAATTTTTAATGAGGAAGAGTTTAAAGGTGAAGAGTCCGTAGAATGATTCTATTTGATTAATCTTTCAAAAGAGATATTATGTGAATATCGATACCATCGTCGATTTATACTACGCTCCTGTACACTCTCTTTTATTTTTTTCTTCAATATCGTGGGGTAATTCTTATGAGTTCAATCTCTATCCTGTATTTCTTTTTCAGAAACGTGTCATTCGTATTATTACTTTCTCCTCATTCTTAGAACATATTAGCCCTTTCTTTAAATCCTTAAAAACCATGAAATCTTTTGATCTTGTCAGATTTATTTTATCAGATTTTATGTACAAATTCCATAAACACCTCTTTACCTCCGTTTTCTCCAGCCTTTTCAGTTCTATCAGGAGTATTCTATTATACCTACATCACTAGACTGGCTTCCAAACTTTTTTTGCTCTTCAAAATTCTCGCACAGTTAATGAATATCTCAAGTTAAGCAGCTTATCTGTTCAAAAAGAACTGAAGAATATATATATTGACATTTATCTTATCGCCGGCTGCGAGCATTCGCCCCACGTCATCGCTCTGACGAAGAGCGAACGCTCGAAACGTCAGCCTTTAAACTCTCTGCGGTGGCCAATTTACGTTATCAACTCTGTTGATTACACTAAATTGTAAAGAAAACATAGGCAACTCTCGTGGGCATTATACTGTATTACAAACGCAGTTGGCTTTTCTCCCGGCTCTTGAATTAAACAAGTCATTCTCGATTCTCAAGAAAGCGAAACCTTTTTGCTATATAACAAATCCTTTATATATCCAGCTTGTTCGGTCGAGATGGCTAGATATTAAACTAATTTTTTTTTGCGTTTTTCTAGATCAAGACTTCGTTCCAGTCCGTAAAAACGCAAAAAAAAAACTCGGCCAACATCCAGCCATTTTGGCCGAACAAGCTTAGTGAAGCTTAGTGGTACCACTGTACTGGAATATCATATGGCGAGATAGTCCAGAGGTAAATCGGAGCGTTCTGATTGCTACTTACTTGGTCCATATTTTCCCAGACCCCACTTCCTTCAGCCATATTAGGTAATAAAATTTGCGCGCTTTGAATAAATCTAAGTATTCATTTTTGTAAAATGTTTTCGGTCGTATTTTCATTTTGAATTTCGCTCGGACTGAAATAGCGCATCCGTTTAGGATAGTTTTGTGGAACAGAAAACAAGGACAGTACGAGCTACAGTAAAACCACAATTACTACATTGAATACCAGGATATAAAAAAGGAATCCACAAAAACTTTAGTACCTGAAGCTGTAACATAATGTGTCCTGGTGATCAAAAGGGAAATTTTTGGGACCAAATGAGGAGCAATACATCGGAGTTGAAGATTTCAGATTTCAATTTTGATCAGTAACCATGCGACTTAGAAT